ATCAATGGTTAAATCCCTCTGTTTTGTTTTTAATGTGTTCTAAATTTTAAATAGTAGTTTCATGTACATTTCATATAACAGAAAGATAATTTGGGGGTATATATCGAAAAGTGCTTTGTTTATTTTTATAGGTCTATTAATATTAAAAACATAGATTTTATCAAAATAATTAACCAATTCTATTCCCTCATTTGGAAAAATATTTTTAATACAATTTATTCCAGTAGAAACGTCATCAATAGATAAAAAAAGTTTAAAAAAATCAATTTTCCTACAAAATAAATAAAAATTTTCATTATCCCTATACAAATTTACTAAACCAAGCGATTGTTTTTTTTCTATAGGTGATCTGTGTAAGTTAAAAAAAAACCACTTTTTATGAGTATATACACTGCTATAGTGTAGATGTGACTGTATTTATGGCTGCCTTTTCAAAATCAATATACACATTTACAGGGTCTGGATATAAGTTTTTATCATGATATTTATTAATTAATGTTTGTAATATATATTCACAAGTGGTTTGTGTTTTTTTTTTCTAGTATATAAAATACCGAAGTCACCTTTAAATAATAATTTATCTTTATTTTAACTACATATAATTGTTAAAAAATGGACAGCGCTAATGCAAAATGACCATCAAACAGCTATATGTTTCAATTTTAGTAAAATGTCTTATTCCGTCGCCAATTGCAAAAATTAAAATTCTTTCTTAAAATTGGATATTTTTGGCATAAATGTGTAAGAAAAATAAATTTAAAACAATGAATTTAATTATAATAATATTAATTAGGCAAAGATATTTTTAAACTTATCTTCAATTATACATTCTTTTAAATTTGTTGGTTTTTTAGGGTTATTTTTAGAACTTTAATTGCAAAGAGTTCTTTTAACAATTGCACTTATGGCATTTAAACTTAAGTTTGGTGATTACAATTTTTAAGTTCTTCACAATAAATTTCAACTGGATTTTTTGACATAGTTGCAGTCTTATACTTCATATTATTATGTGCTAAACATTTATTGGCTTCAACGTCTTGCGTGTCAGGTGGATGTTATATGCACTTTGTCAAGAATGGACGTTTCAGTAAAATTATTTTTAAAGATTTTTAATTTTTCTGAACACTTAATATTAGATATTTTTGAGCATCTCCTAACAACGAATTTTAATGTATTGTGTTTAGTATATGTTCATCATAACATAATTTATGGAAGTATTTGTTGAGATATTTTAATTAATAAAATCTAAAAATTATAATTACCAAAATTGCAAATCGTTTATCACTTGGAACAAAATGAGACATTAGTGTTTGTAAATATTATTAACGAATAAAACATTATTTACTTGGATATTGAATGGGCTTTAATATCTTATTTTACATTTGAATATTATTAGTTTATAAATATAAAACCGCGGTAGGTTGATCTAATACATCGTTTATCCTTATTCAGTTTTCATAATAACATACAAGAACAAATAATCAATAAAAATAAAAATAAAAAATAATCTTGACTGTCTAAATACATATAGTACCATTAATGGATAGCTTCTTCCATTAAATACGTCTTTATGTACATACAAATATTATATCAAATTTACTTATAATTGTTTGCTCGAACAGATTGTAAATATCTTATAAAAATAAAATAAATAAAAAGTTTTCATAATAATTTGCTTTTTGCTTTTTATACAATTGCATTTTTTAATATGCTTTTTTTTTATTTATGTTTTTCGTTGTTGTTTTTTTTCCGAATCTCCTATTATTATTATTACTTATTACCTTTGTTTTGATTTCTTTTTGATGTATTATACAATTGTATTATAAATTAAATGACTATTTTTGTTCTATATAACTTATTTTATTTAGTTTAAGTTTATTAAATGTATCGGTTAAATTGGGCTTCCATCTGTTTTATTCATATAATTGACTATTGGATATTATTATAAATGTACTTAGTATTCCTATAATTATTTTATTTCACAAAAACAGTAATTAAATTCAATAAATGTTAACTAACATAATATTATTCCTAGTAACTATTATTTTATTAAACGATGTGTTAAGGTTAATTCTACGCAAACAATCTACATTTACACCCTTTTTAAACAAAAAAACGTCCTGCTTGCACCTCCATTCTAATTTATAAAATTTATAAACCTATAATAAGTATATCAATGTATCTATTAAACTAATTGATTGATAAATGATTTAAATTATACTAATAACCTTAAAAAACAATTATTGATCAATTTAATGTGGTACGGATTAAAACTTTTGTAACTTTGTAAGTATCTACAAGATTATGTAAATTACATAAAATATGATTTCCTTTTATCTAATTGTATGTAACATAAATTACCATTTTTATTTAAAGAATAGAAAAAAAGTATATTAAAACATAAAAAAACATGAATATATGGTATTCAAAACATTTCTTGAAAACGATGAAACTAAAGTAATATGATCAAAAAGTAAAAGTGGGTAGACATTTTGTAGATAACATTTTATTACGTATAGCAAAATTCATAATATACGTTAAAGTTTAAAGTCTCCACGAATGATATTTTTGGATTAAAACAATATTTCTATACAGATATAAGAACAACTTATATTGAGTTATAATTAATTTGTTTGGATTATTATTTTCTATGATCTATTTTCAAAAATTTTGATCCAGCAAATATTTTTTTATTGACATTTTTAAAGTTAAATTATGTATAGAAAATGATAATATAAACATTTGGTTACTTTTTATAATTTTTTTTGTTTTTCCCTATTTTTAAAAAAAAGTACTGTACATTTTTTATCTTGACTTCCCAAAGTACCAAATAGATCTTATTTACTATTAGAAACCACACACAAAGTTAAAAATCGAAGCATTTTTACTGCCTAAAATGTACATAATGACAGAAAAAAAAATATATATCAATATCATTGTATAATAAAAAATAAAAATATACTCATCGTTCTTAAAATTGAAAAATCTAAAATCATGAAAATTTACTATGAACTTGAATATTTAATCATTTTACTTTTTAATAATTTGTAATTTTTTTTAAATTTATTCTCTTTTTAATTTTTGTTTGAAAATTCTTTAATTTTTTCTTATTAAAATAAAATTTAAAGGTTAATGTCGACTTTTAAAGAAGAAAAATAATCAATCTCAAATAATAAATTTAAATATGTTTTCTAATTTGTTATTACATTTGAATTATTTTACTGGTAGGTAAGGTTAACAATATACTCGTATATTAAATGCTCTAAATAAAAGAAAATAATGAATTTAATATACATTTTTTTATCACTTAATGTGTATCATAGAAACAAAATATACATAATATATAACATAATTAAATTGCATAAATATCTATGAAACAATTAAATTTTAAATTAATTAAAAAAATTATATATTTTTAAACGTATATCCAGTTATTAATTATCCAGTGTGCCAAACTACAACTAATTATATGTCATTAGACCCCATGTAAGTATACTAGATAGCTTATTATTAAGTAATTATTAATTTATATAGAATAGTAAATAATTATAAAAAATTATAAATTATTATATTATTATTATAATTATAATAATTATCAAACTTTTTTTAATTTATTACGAAAAGTTTATTAATCACTAATAAAAATCAGTACATAGATAATATAGCATTTAAAAAAACTAAATTTTTAATAATTATTAAGTAAATTTTGAACTAGGAAAGTTGCTTTACTATTTCAAGTGTATCTCCTTGATTAAGTCATTGTAATGGAATATTAAATTTAAATTTAGTAATAAAACAAGACAAGACACACAGCAAATAAGTGTACGACTTCAATGAATTTTGTGAAAATTTAAATAAAAAACATGTATTTTAAGTATTTTTATTTATCTTTATAAAAAATAGAAAAATATTGTATTAAATATTCAAGCTTTTTTGGCTAAACATAACGTTATTATGAATACCTATTTATAACAAAAAAAAAAAAAAAAAACTAAAATAGTCAATATTTTTAAACACTTATAAAAAGCTTAAAACTAATCTAAAATATAAATTTTTTCAAAATCCTATTGGATATAAAAAATTTAATTATAATTTAAGATATAAGTAAAATGGAACACTTTAAGTTCATGCAGTTAATATTTATTGAATAATAAGAAAAAAATGGTTTGAAAATAAATCATTATTATTCGATATCCTGACTTAAAATACTCATAAAAAATAACGGAGCTTTACGTTGTGTTATTTTTTTTTTTTTATTCCATTAAGTACAACAAATAAGTAATGAGGGGAATATTAAAATTTCAATCTTTTTGATCAAGAAAAAACATTAACATAAATCAAAAAAATCTAAAAAACTTTATTTGTTATTGGATTACTACAAACAAAATAAAAAACAAAATTAACTTTGTCAACAATTGGTTTAACATAAATACTATGATTTTCTTTTTTAAAAGTAATAAGATCTGTTTAAATCGCTAAGTATCCAATTTGTTACTAGAAACATTAAATAATATTAATAATATTATAGAATTTGTATTACTCCTGGTAATGATGTTATTACGTCTGACACACACAATGAAAAATAATACAAATCATTGTAAAACCAATCGATTCATCCATTTAGAATCTAAAACAACATTTATTTTAATATTTACCATAAACCTGCTTTCTTATTTAAACATCAATAAAGTCTTAACTCACGATTTATTCATTATAATATGTTTAGTGAATGTTTATGCAACCCGGACCTGTTATTTTATTTAAATTATGTATTTAGAATATACAACAATAACATACAATAACTTTTTTGCTTTAATATATTTAAACATGTATTATTATTTATTGAACATAGTACAAATGTCAAAATACTGAATTTAAATTATGAATGAATACATTACAATATTTTGTCATAAACCACGGATAAAAAATAATTAATAATATAATATAAATATATAAATAACTATATGTATATTTCAACAATATTGTTTATTATTTTTTTTTTTACATTAAATACACTTTTATTAAGGCGTTTGTCTAAAGCAACGCTATTGAAGAATATTTATGAAAAACAATTACTTGAGGACTATATAAATTATGAATATTCAAATAATTCATGTTTTAACAAAATATCAACACATTTTCAAGTAAGCTTTAACTTATTTGATCAATAATACAATAATGTAACCTAACCTACAAGGAATTTTAAGTTAAAAGATAAATTTCATTGTTTATTAAATTAAAATTTAAATCAAATTATTTTGACTAAACATAATATAAAGAGATTAATTTTTTGTGTGCCACCAAATTAAATAAAAAAAAAAAAAATTATCAGATTGATTTAAAGTTACTTAAGTTTGCTAAATAAAGAGCAAAATATAATTTATAACCAAACTAAGTTTTATGATATACATAAATATAATTAATAGTATAGATGTATCTAAATTATAGATTCTGAAAGTACAAAGAATAAACAACCCTCAAATATATGGCATGTATCTATTGCACAAAGAAGAATTGGAATTAGATTGTAATAGTAATAATGTGAGGGAAGAAACCTTGTTTCATGCAACATCCATAAGCAATGCAGAAAGCATTGCAAAAGACAATATTGATTGGCGAAAGACAACGCGAAGCAGATTTGGAGTTGGTGTTTGTTTTTCACCATGTACGCTTTATGCTAATAAACATGCTAAATTTAAAAAAGGTAAATAAACTATTCTCATTTAGAACATTCAAATGGTACATTGATTAATACATATTTCAATTGTTGAATTATTTTAGCCTTTATAATTGCTAAAGTACTAGTAAAAAATATTGAGGCAACAAGCATTAACTACTTTTTAGAAATACCGTCAAAAAACGACTGTGACACGACGCTAGGGAACGGAAATTATGTATATGTAAAATATGATGATAATACTTTTTATCCGGAATATATTGTTCATTATTCTTAAAATATAAAATTAAGAATTTATGTTTTGAATTTAAAAGTGGAACACATGCAGATATTTAAGTTTGATTTATAAAATCAAAACTATAAGTAAATTATTAAAAGAATATACATTAATGATTTTATTTAATTATAATTAAAAAATTTAATGTCTTAAAAAGTCCATCTTGTGGCTTTATTTTAGATGTACTGCATTTTAGGTTTATATATAACTTTAACTGTTTGTAGGCTTGAGAAACTTCTGAGTTCGACCCGAATAATCGTAAAATAAAACCCATATCGTTGAAGATAATAATTGTATAATAACCGTGACTCAAATTTTATTCTATTTTTAAATTTTACAAACAAAACGATGGTTATGAAAATTATTATTGTAATGTATCAAATTTACAATTTAAAATATTTGTACATCATTATTTCTGGTATGAATGATTCATTTAATTTTAATTTGATTTAAATAAAAAATACACACACAAGCAAATTTGTACCTAACACACGATGAATGTTCCTAATATAATTAAAAGTTAACTAATGAATATATGTATTCTGAAAATTTGAACTAACATACTATATTAATATGATAATAGTCAATATTATATCTTTTTTTATTGTTCCGTCATAAATAGAACAAATCAATTTTTTACGAATCTTTCATACTGCTTAATAATATGTACACTTGATTTTACCGTGTTTTTAGATTTCATATTTAATTATTTATTGTTATACTATACATAATGTATTTTTTAAAGGATAGGAATTATTGAAGAGTAAAAATAATAAATACAAACGATGAATCTGCTATATACTACTGCAGCCTTTGACTGCTAGAGTATCTCGAGTGTATGCATTTTATTATCATTATTATTACGCATCATAGTTAAAATTAAATCGATAAATTATACAATATCAGAAATATCTAACGTGTTCAAATATGATTTCATCGTAAAATTTTCAGATCTTTCCGATACACTCTGTATATTATATTCTATTATTTCGTATGCACTAAATAGGCCATAAACGTGTAATACGTATACAACAATTTTAAAACCAATAATAGAAAATAATAGTATAATGTATATATATATATTATATGTGTGTGTGTGTGTGTGTGTGTGTGTGTGTCATGTACTAACATTATGTTGTACAGACTTCGTGCCGTTGCAACGGAATATGGACCGTCGTTTGGCGGAAAGAAAAACATTGTCCTTCACCCGCCGCCATCAGCCGGGCGAGACTATATAGCGTATCCTTGGAAACCGGCTGGCGCCAGTGGCGTCGCGACGCGCCAATTACGACGCCACAGTTTGCCCCTTCGGTTATTATTATTATTATTATTATATATATATATATATATATATATATATATACTCACACACATTATACATACACTGAAATAGGACTTGTGTGTAGCGTTGTATATGTATATTTTATATACATATATATAGGTCTGTCCCGGGCGTATATTACTCATTGCTTTACCCTCTCACCCGTAGAGCCATCCCCACCATCATCACTTCGACTATCGGACGACGACGATACATCCAAACTCCGTAAAAACTATGACTAATACTATGTGCCATTCGCCCCTTTTATCAATATAATATAATATTACGTGTATATAATAATATCATAACTGTAATTTTTTTCTGTTCTCCAAAAGTTATTTTGTCCGGCAAAAAACACGGTTATTCAATACGATCTGTATATATTAATATTTCTGCCGCTGTCCAACCGTTACTACGGTCAATCAACACTATACTATATTACTATACGATCATGATAATATGTAGGTACAATATATGTATTACTATACTTATAATAGTGTTATATATGTACGTATGACGCGACGAAATATCTATAATGATATTATAGATTTATTTTAAATGGCGTCTTGAAGAGAACCGAAAACAAAATGTATCTACAATTAAAACGTTTTGAACGTATCATGAGTGTATTGAATATTTCTTAAGCCTTTAATATTATATAAGTAAAATACCTATTGCAAAAACTCAAAATTTCAGTATGACTAAAAAAAAAAATTAACGCAGTGTGTTAGTTTCTATTTACAATGATATTTTACATTGACGTGGTATAATAAGTGTATCACTTGACACTTCGATAGTTATATAAATCCGGTAACCATGGTTCATATTATATATGTACCTATACTTACGTTTTAAACTTGGTGGACGGGTTACCGTAATATTTTCGGTTGTTAGTCAGAGTCATGTGGAAAATTTTATACCATCGCCAGCATTTTTATCTGCATCTATCAAAAGAACGTATTATTTAATACCTAGTGATGACGTAATTTGCACTGTGCTGCGTGATAAAATTTAAGCGAATCGAGTTTTATATTTTCGTAATTTTATGAGTCTTATAATGTCCGATCCGATATATGCATCGTCCGTTTATCGAGGATTACGAGCCAATGGCGATACGCCAACATGTACGCAACATGTACATTACACACGTAATGCCACCACTCACCATGTAAGTTTTAGTGATAAAAATTATTCGTACGACCATCGTATTAGTGTTATTTATAATTGATTGTACTTGAAAATTAAAATATGTTTATATATACCAAAATAAGTTTGTATAAAGTAAAATCCAAGTTAAACCTAAGCAAAGAGATAGTACATATAACTACTAACTAGATAACTAGAATACTTATAGATTTAAATCATTATGGTAGGTATATTATCACATTTTTATACCATGATTAGGTAGGTATAACGCGTATTATTTTATAAATTTAAGATAAACCTTGTAAAAATAATTACGTTGTGCATCCACCATCCGTCAATTTTCAATAAATACTCGACAAATTATATTATTATAAAATGAAATTAAAATAATTTTATCAAATAGAATAACGAATAACTCCTTAATAAACACGTTATATATATATATATATATATACATAAATGTTTTATTATTGGAACCTTGATAGAAAAGCCGTAAAAGTTTGAAAAAAGATATAGGTACACAAATATATGAAGTAACGCAGTACACATTTATCGTGTCACTGTAAGAAAGAAAAATGCAATTTATTATAGACAATGCCAGAGCACCTGGGTATAGCTAGATATTAACATGAGTTTGAAATATTATGTTAATTTACTTATATCAGTAAAATTAATATTATTATTTTATATCATTGGTCAAACCTACATGTCGGTAATATTTGTATAATACCTACTATACGGTGTAATATGCTAATATCTTATATTCAAGCCATCAATATCCTCTCTTTCTACATATTATTAATCATGATAAAATTAACATATAATCAAAAAATGTTAAGTAAAATAATAATAATATAATAAATAATACATAATGTCATAATAACTGTAGTTAAATATTAATGTCATAAAATAATATAATACATATACTATAAACTTAAATAATAATTCCGTTCATAATGTACGATTATGGACTTTTGATACATTATCGACTTCAGTTATTCGTATTATACTATGAACTTGAATTCAGCTTGTTGACTATAGACTTTATATATAATACCCGTTTAATTTACCTTCTTCGGGGGGATTTTCCCGTGTGCGTCCCGAAATGATGTTTTTTTAATATTTTGAGTGCATCCGAAATTAGGTATCACCCGAATGCATCCCAAGAAAAAAAGGTTATATTTTTTATATAGCCCTAGTGCGTCCCAATTCATTTAGAGTTCCTTAGCGTGCACCACGAGGAGATGAACTGGCTTACACCCCAAAAATATTTTTTGATTCTTATTTATAATTATTTATTTTATTTTAGTTTACACCCTTAAATTGAGAAAAATGTTAGGACAAGTGTACTAATTATTTTTAAACTTTTCTTTTTATTCAAGGTAAATTGTATTTATTTATTTTCAAAAATTATCATAGAAGTTAAAATGCAATTTTTCCATCGTATCTAGTATTCCAAAATCATAGCTTTAAAAATAAAGTATTATAGTTGTATATTTGAACCAACATATTCGATCATCGTCAAATCACTCAAACCTATATTTTGAAAGGTTTATTTGATAATTTTTTCTTAAATATGACCTATAGCTGTGGACTGAGGAAGCACTCGAGTTATCAATATATATTTTCTCGATAAGACTGCGGACGCACACGGTCTATGAAAAAGGTAAAAACTAAAAACGGGACACATTCGGGATATCCCCTCTTCGGAGACGTAAGCATGTTGTATGCAGTTTTTAAGTTTCTAGATTGGTTAATCCTGAGTATTTTTAGAAAGATATCATGACGTAATTTTAGAAGCATTTAAAATCTTAAATCACTGAGCTTTCCTAATTGTAGATAATTTATTGTAAATGTATACTTATACGTAAAGAACTTTGCGCAATTCACAGATATTTTTTTCACATACCTATCCTTTATATGTAACACACTTACACACTTACACACACACACACACACACACACACACACACACACACAAACACACACACACACACACACACACACACACACACACACACACACACA